CCCTGTGCAGAGCGCGCTCGGCCGAGGACCAACTAGGAACCCACCCGCCACGCGCGCGCAGGGAGGCGGGGACGTCGCGGGCTCAGACACCCGCAGGCTCGGGGCGGGGCTCGGAAGGGCCGCAGGGGGCGGAAGCCCGCGCCCCCCGTGTGGAAAGCGGCGGGGTCCCGGGTACCGACTCTCGGGTTTCTGCGCCAAGCCGATGTTCGGGGCAGGGAAGGTTCTCCCGTCGGTCTCCCAGTCTTCCCGAGAGCAGGGCTAACGTCGACAGAACCCGGCAAGGAGGCGAATACGACGGCCTAGGCTCTAATCGGATCAGACCTAATCCGTCTACAGCCAAAGCCATTAATTTAGATCTTGCACAACCAGGTCTGCCCAACGTATTACTCGGACAAGGCGTGAGACCCTCCCCAATACTTTGACTTTGCCTTGCCTTCTCTAAATCCGGGGCGGACTTTGAGTCTGTCCCTACTTCCTCAGAATGCATAGCTTCCCAGGTGACCAGTATTACCCAAACCCAAGTTCCTGGTTATATCAAGGTCTAGATCATCGCCAATGCACATAAGATGTGGCCCTTAACCCAGATTCATTGCTTATTGGAGACCTGTTGGGAAGGGAGGCAGAGAGCCATGACTTAGACATCTAGTAGTCCTCGCCTCCAAATAGCCTATTTCTTGATATCTTGTTATCGACATAAATGATTATGTCCAGCTCAGCCCAAGGACAAGAGGTGATGCTGGTGTTGATGGTCAGATACCAAATATGACCAAGATGGAGAATCCATCATTTATTTAGTTCAACACTCATTTCTCCTGTCACAACAACGCTGCAGCCTATTTCCCCAGCCTGGCAAACCTTGTGCCAGAAAAGTTCAATTTCCTATTACTGTGCCCTCTGTGAGACCCTCTCGTCCTGTTCACGCAGTTAGGCCTTTATATCCCATTCAGTACCAGGATCAGAGGTAGGCTCTGTAGGGCCTGTAGATGGCATCTATGGAGTGGCAACGAGCCACATCTGTCCCGGTTCCTTGAGTCTGGAGTTCCATTCAAGAGGGAGCCAGTATCTGCTTGTTTTCAGTTCTTGGCTGATAGTTGTCAAAAGTGGATGTTGGTGGAGGTGCTTACCTTTTTGTTCTATGGCCCGGCTGTGTGGCAAGGCACTTCATGTCTAGGGCATGGCAGCAACAAAGAGTCTTTTCTCACTCAGGGTTAGGGAGAGAACCTGCCTAACACAGACTTTAGGTTCAGTTCCTAGTACTACAAAATACATAATTGTTTTTGCTGGTAATGGTAGTTCATGCGTGTAATCCCTGTCTAGAACCAACCAGGCAAACCCCTCTATCTATCCTAGCTTGTTTTCCATCTTTAACACATTTTGTTTAACTATCCTTTTAAATTCTGGGGTTTTAATCAGTAAAACAAACATATGGTACTAAATATGAAATATCTCATTCCTTAACTATGTTCTCCCCTCCCTGGAGACAAATTCTGTTACCCTCCCTGGAGACAAATTCTGTTACCACTTAGTTCAATTGTGTGTTGGCTTGGAATTGAACCCAGGACCTTGTGCACAAAAGGAAATGTGCTGTCAATGTGCTGTTTATCAAGCACCATTTTGGAATTAAAAACAAAAAATCAACTGTTGACATGATCCTTCCTAGCACCGAGAACAGAGTAATTAGGTGATATATATAAATTGAGCAGGGAAAAAAAAACTCATGTACCATTTGAGATGTTTTGCATGGCAATGGCTTCTACTTGCCTGTTTTCTATGGAGTTTTGGCAACTTGCTGATTGCTGATAAAGCCAAGCCATGCCACAAGGACCACTGCCATGACTGCTGCATGCATCCTTAAATACGGATAGAAAGACAATGGCTTCACCAGTGGGCTACTGTCACAGCTCTCATTTTAACTGACCAGGCAGAGTTTGGTCCAGATAGAGAACATCAGCTTGACTTTAAACCCTCAGTAGAAACACGAACACACTGAAATTTTGGATTTCCTTCTTAAAAATTATATTTATCTGAATGTGGAGGCTCTTCATTTCACCCTTTAAATATTCGTTTTTGTGTGTGTGTGTGCATGGGTGTTGTGCCTGCATGTACATGTATGTGCACCACACTATAGCTGGTATTCAGGAAGAAAGAGGACTTCAGATGCCCTGGAACTGGAGTTACAGATGGTTGCGAGCCACCATGCGGGTGCTCTACAAGAGCAAGTGCTTCTAACCTGAGACACTTCTCCAGACCCCAATTTCCATCCCTAGATATCAGAGGATAAGGATGCAGAGCAGGGCAACAGAAGACCCATCTCCAGCACAGCCCAACCTCCACTTTCATCGTGGTGTTCATGTCCTACACTCCACTCCCTTGAGACCTTATCTCCCATCCCAGGTTGGCTTCAAACTTAATACAGGACTGAGGCCAGCCTTAAATTCCCAGTTCTGCCTCTATCAAAAATTCTGGTACTACAAGCATGTCACTATGCCTAGCTGCTATGCTATTAATAACAACCACCACAGAATGACCAGGCTTGGGGACAAACTTACTTGGATGGTAATGATCTACATGAACTTACTTCCACCATTCCTGGTAGACACTGCTAAGAGCTGGGCACAGTGGCACATAGGAGGTTAAGGCAGGAGGGTCAGAAGTTGAAGGCTATCCTGGGATACATGAGGGCCCCTTTCAACAGTGACCTGAGATGGAATAAGGGATGCTACATTCCAGATGGCCACTACAAGTGTCAGTGTGAAGGCCAAAGCCAATCCCTGAGAGCTGCTTCACCTGGTAGAGCATACAAAATGATAGGCTGCTAAGAAATCAAGTTAGACACATTTCCCCCCCCCAAGTGTCAGGTGCCTACCTACAGGTTGTGGTCACTGTACTTTAAGGTATGGGTATTTTGGCTAAGGTCTTCAAACACTTAGGGCAGTGATTTCTCCTAAGGGAAAAGCTACTGCTGGTACAGGTTACATGGCTGCTCATCATGAAGCTACAAGAACATGCAAAAGTCTTGTGTGTGTGTGTGTATGTGGTTAAGGACATCTCCAATTTCACACAGCAAACAGACAGGGAATTTTCCATTTTTGGTTTCTCCAGGGGTCAGAACAGGGCAGGCTGGGCCTGGAGGGTACGAGTATTAATAGTAACTGGGTCACTGACTTTTCCCTCCTACACCTACAGGGTTTCTGTGTAGACCTGGCTGTGCTCAAACTATACAGATCCACCTGCTTCTGCCTACTGAAAGCTGGTAGTAAGGTGTGCACCACTACACCTGGCTCCATTAGCTATCACTTTTTAAATGCGAAGTTTTATTGGGGGAAGAGAGCAAAGGGAGGGAAGGGAAAGGAAGTGGGGGAGAGGCAAAGATCTGCCTGACTCTTCAGAAAACAGAGAAAAAGAGCCATTCTTTGTGACAGTCATCTGAGACATCGGCCCGAAGTTCAGGATCCAAGCTTCCTCCCACTTCACTTTGTAGCCAGCCCTTAAGGGGCTTCAAAGAGAGCCACTTGCCTCTGCCCTTTATGACATGAGTTCTTAAGATTAACAAAGGCTGGTCCCCCAGAATATTACATGCAGCATACCAGAAGCAATTCCCTATCTCCCATTGGGGACTGAATTCAGAATATTATACAGAAAATTATAGTTCACTCAGTGCAGATTTTACACATTATCCCCGTTTTCTCCAGGGGGGAAAATTTTCTTTCTTTTTTTTTTTTTTGAGACAGATCTTATGTATAGCAGGTTGGTCTTAAACTTGGGATCCTTCTGAGCTGTGATTACAAGAATGTACCACCATTGCCTTCATTTTCAAGAATGCTTGGTCCTGTGTGAAATGCTATTTATTAACTGTTCAGATTCTGGTTGATCGGACAGTACAGCCTTGGTAGTTATTTGCTGCTATGATTTCCCTATATGCAGACTATACAGTTCAAATTTCTACCAGATGAAATGCCCCAAGAAGAATTTGTAGAGTTTTGTAATACCACACCAACTTATTAAGGAGAAAATTAAAGCCATATATATGGCTTTAATAACAGTACTTCAGTGGCATGGGAATCTTCGTTAGTGCAAGACCAGCCTGGTTTACAGCTAAGTTCCAGGCTAGCAAAGTTTACATAGTGAGACTATCTCAAAAATAAAATTACATGCATTTATGTATATGTATGGGTGCATACCAGTGTGCATGTGAAGGTCAGAGGACAATTTTACAGAGTTGGTTCTCGTTCAGTATGTGGGTGGTTCAGGGACTGGTTTGGTGGCAAGCACCTTCACAGGCTGATATACACAATCAGGTTTGAAAATCACCAATTTTAATGAATTTAGAGAAATTATACTAATAGTTTGAGAAACATATGGACTGGACTGTACATGGTATGCTATGTCTTAAAAAAAAGTTTTATACTTACCAAAAAGAACAAGAATTCACACTTGCTTATAAACCAGTTTTCGGTTAGATTGCATCAAGGATTAACTTCCCCATTACCCCTTAGAGACTTAGAGCTTCAGCTCTTTGCTAAAGGCACCTTTCCTGAGCAGATGGAGATCACTGCATGGCAGAAACTCTTTGTTTCTCTGGACTCATAAGGATCTTGAAAACCAGCAGTTCTGTCCTTTCTGGCAAAGGGTTTGCAGTTGTGGTGCTCTGAATTGTCCTTGTAGTAGATCATGTTCATGGAAGCTTCCACTAGAAAGCTTGCTTCCAACCAGGAACCATTTAACCGGGACCCACCACTTCACCTCAGGAAGCAAGACATGAGGACATTAGGTAACCCTGTGACAGAACATCCATTCACCTTTTTTGACTGAAGGAGAAGGCGTCCAAGTGAGTAAGGCATTCAAATTTATGGTCACTCTTTGAAGCCCCTAGAAAGTTATCAACCTAGTAGACCCTGAGACATGGAATTTTAATTGCTAATTAGAACCATGTGAGACGGAGTATGTAGGTTCTTCACAGGATACAGCATGAAATGAATGGATGAAGCAGAAAATATAACTAGAATTCATAAATGGTATATCATTTATTTAATGAAAAAGAGGGAAATTAAGCCACTTTCATTCATTTTCTCCCAAACTCTCAAAATTCCCTTCCCTCATTTAGAAACAAGAAAACAACCAAAACAAAACAAAAAACAACCCACACTTAGAAACACATTTGTACAAAAGCCACACAGCCCGCCCCTCACAAAACTGGATGGGTGTTATTACAAGAATGAAACCCAACTGAAAGACATAGAAGGAGCTGCGTTGAACTCAGGCTCTGTAGGTTTCAAGCGCTGCAAAAATAACTCCACTTGCATCTTTCAAACTGGAAGGTGATCACATTACAGACCTGAGGTTATAAAGGACCACAGTGTGAACCAGAGTCCCATTCTCCTTCTAGGACTCCAGGGGAAAGGCGAGCTTGGGAGTGAGTTTCCTTTGGGAGAGAAAGGAGGGAAATAGGGGAAACCCTGGCCACTGTCTAAAGGCACTGGGGTATTCCTGGAGGCAAATGAGTTATGTAACCTCTCAAGGAACAAGCTCACTTCCATTTCTACTCCAAGAGTCTAGAGCACACATAAGAAAGGGGTAAGGTTTCCTTTGCTCTAGTACGCCAGGACTCCGACGGTGACCAAGGCCACCTAGTAGAGGCAAACAAGAGGGTCTCAAGGGCAAATCTCAACCGTGGATTTTTGTGTTCTGACATTAAGGGCTCTAAGGTGTTGTGGACACCTCCCCCCCATATGTAAAGCTTTAAAACACACATAGAAAAAGATATCCATAAGACATTCTACTTTGCATTCTCGATAATGAAACCTGTCACTCAACTGAAACTGACAGAAACACCTTGCTAATCATGGAAGGACAGAAGGGAAGGAAGGATGAGCTGACAAAACCAGTTAACTATCAAACCACTCAAGAAGGGGTATATGCAGGCTCAAATTAAGGCTTTTCTGTGGCTCTTCCTCTGGAATGGTACCCCATCCTCCTAGTGTGAGCATCCCAAACTTTAAAACATAATGCTTTGGAGCCAAGTGAGGTCCTGTGCCCTCACATATTTTCTACAACCCTGTGACAGAGTTACAGGAGGCTGCTGGGTGGGCCCCACTCCTCCACTGCCATTCTGAACCTCAGTACCGCTTCTAGAAATCCCATTCACCCTGGCTCAGCAAGAGGTAGTTTAGGGACTTGTACCCTCAGCCACCTAACCAAGTTTCATGAGATAAAACATTTAGCACAATCTACTTACCCATTTTAACATTTTTTTTTTCCTTTCTTTTCTCATAGGAGGTTTAAAAAAACACATATAAAGTTCAGCTAGATGTGGGGGTGAGGGAAAAGATATGTGTGGGGTTGGGTAGGACTCCTAAAGGTATGTAGGTAGGGCCCTAGATTCTTTAACTTTCCTGACTAGTCAGGGAAAACCTAGGGAATGCCTCCCAAAATTCCAACCTTTAAAACTCACACTGTCCCAAGGAAAACAATCCTAGTTCCAACCCTGCCAATCTGCACAGAAACCCAGACTTGTGGAGAAGGGAAGGAGTGGGCTCTGCTGATGTTTGTGCTGCCTGGTACTATACTAGGTACAGTGTGTGTTCTTTCAGGGTAGTCCTTCACAGTCCTCACCAGGGAATAAGAGCAACAGGTGTGTCTTTCTTCCCCAGATCTTCTCAGATGGGTGCATTTTTGGGTGGCGAATGCCTCAGGAACCTCACCAGTAGCACCACTCTTAGCTCAGAAAAGTAGAAATAAGGTCACTTATAATGCTTTAAGGTGTGCCCCCCCTCTGTGGCTGTCTCCTGTCCATCACCAGTTAGTTTTTGGTTTCTATTAATTGAGGATGCTCTCCTTAAAAACAACAGGAGAAGAAAGGATAGTAATTATCGAGAATTATCCACTGAAGCATAAGACAAAACAGAGACATAGAACACTAATGTCAACTGGACCTGCAGAGCAACTGCCAACACCTGGCACACGGCTTACTTCAAATTGCCTGGGCACACTAGTCACCACAGGCTTCTACTGAGTATCAGCTAAGGACTTGACATCGAGAATATCGGGGGTGGAGAGACATGGGACTCATGCTTGGGGCTGTGAGGGAAAAAAAAAAAATCCCAAAAGAAAAGCAAGGAAGCTGAGACACAAGTCTTGCCATCCCCATTTCAGCTTGTGGTGGGTGTGGAGGCTCCCTGTTTCTTCCAGGCTAAGGAGTGGCCGAGGCTGGTGGGCCTGGAGCAGGAGGTGGAGGAACCCCGTCTGCTGGTGAAGGCTGTGGCTGCTGCTGTGGTGGAGGAGGATCTGCAAATACATCCAAGGTAACTCGTCATTGCTAGAAACAAGGAGGCCCAAGGGGAAAAAAAAATCTATTCCAATGGAAAGTGACAGGTAGGTGCTTTTTTGGGGGTGAGGGATGGGGGTATAAGATTTTACTATGTAGCACTGGCTGGTCTGGAACTTGCCAGCTTCAAATTGAGAGTTTTGCCTGCCTAAGCTGTAGTGCTAGGATTAAAGACATTAAAGCCTAGTTTAGGAAGTAACTTTTTTCTTTTTTTGGTTCTTTGAGACAGTGTTTCTCTGTGGTTTTGGAGGTTGTCCTGGAACTAGCTCTTGTAGACCAGGCTAGATCCATCTGCTTCTGCCTCCCGAGTGCTAGGATCAAAGGTGTGCACCACCACCGCCTAGCTAGGAAGTAACTTTCTTTGTAGCAGGTAAACAGTGTGGGCTCAGTGGCTTGCTACCTTTGAGGTCAAATACACAGCTGGTGCTCATGGTCCTAAGCCTAATCTAAGAAGTAGGAAAGGGAAGTGTCAGAATTCATCCACCCTTCTTGAAGGACCAATCATTCCAAGAACCACTCCAGACTTTTTTTTTTTAAAAGAACTTAATTGTATTTCCATTTTATTGTATTCTAATTGTTCTCTCTACTAATTGTGTTTCTTCAATTAAATAATGAGGACCTTAATGGGCAAGCTCTGTATCTTTATCTTTCTTTATTCCATGGTGTCTAGCCTAGCTGGGCACAGGAGAGATTATCAGTAACTTCTTGCTGATTAACTGTTTCCAGCAGGGCCACAGAACTTCACTCAGGCAGCTGCTGACGAGCTGGATAGTCCTGGGAGGCCCTTACAGCTCCTCAACTGTCATCCTTGGATTTCTGGCCCAAACTAGGTCAGGTCCTGAAGGAAACAATTAGCGTTGAGTGTCTGGGGTTCTTTTCTATTTCAACTCTTGAAGCTTTAGCGTACAAAGAAACCCTAGAGATCATTTAATCCAAGGCTTTAAAATCCCTAGATCTTGCCAGGAATGAAAACATATCAAACAAATAATTAAAGTATAGCTACACTAGCTAGGCATTCACCCATCCACACTCCTGAGAGGCTTCTAGCAAACCTCTACAGCTTTTCAAACACCCTGAATCTAACAGTCTGTTCCTTTGTGATCTTTGAGAAGGAGACTAAGCCCTGAGGACGGAAAGCTACTTAGGCAGCGAGGCCTGTCCAGGGCCCAAGAACCAAGTCAGGGTTAGATTCCCAGAGACCTGTTCACACAAGGTAAAACTCCATGTTCTTAAAGGCACTCCTCTGAGGTCCCTAATGTCAAAAACCATGTATAACACTGAGAAATCCAGGGATATTATCTGTCCACCAGAGATGACTGTGGGTCAGCTCTCTTGGAAAGCAAATTCTTTCTTACCTGGGGTGGCTTGGCAAGCACTTTCTTAGACACTCTACGGTGAAAACTGGCCACAAGCTCAAGGGAAATAATTTTTCACAGGGGCCAGATTTTAGAAACTCCATGAAGCCAAGACTTCCTTCTGTACATCTATGTTGCCTTAGTCTCAGGGATTTATAGAGGTGTGGTGCCCACACCTCTTCGTGAAGCCTGCTTCCCTTCAATGAAGCTCCCTGGAACGCTACAGAGCATCCAGAGTATTTTGTAGGTTCTTGTAGAATTTTTATTTTCTGTGTGTATCACACATGCATACATAGTTGTGTTGGTGCTATAGCATGTGTGTTGAAGCCAGAAGGTAACTGTGGGAGTCCTCTTCTCCACCATGCAGGTTCCGAGGAATCAAACTCATGGTGTTAGGTTTAGTTGCAAGTGCCTGTACCCGCTAAGACATCTCACCAGCCTTCTCTCATTACTTTTACTAAACCCTATTAAACTTTTTAAAAGTATTTGTTTAATTTGGTTTGTTGTTCTAGAACCACAGTCTATAGTTGCTAAGTCAATCCTCCATAGTCAAGAGAACACCCCTACCAACTTCTCTCTCTGTTTCCTAATTAAGGTCAGGCAGGACAAGGATTCTTTTTATTCACCGTGAGACAGGGTCTCTCTATTTAAGATTCTTGGCTGTCCTAGAACTTGCTCTGTAGACCAGGCTGGCCACAAACCAGGGATCTTTCTTCCTCTGCTCCTGAGCCAATTCACTACATTTAACCTTGCAGTATAAAAGATTTGGAGAGAGGGAATAACAGGCAGGAGCTATGCATGTCAGTTGAGATTCAAACTAGTCAGGTTTAATTATATGTGACAGAGAAGTGGCTTAGCCACAGACCTCAGTACTGAGTATATAACTTGAATTTCATACCAAAACATCTTCCACAACTCATTATTGAAGGCTGGACTGCCTTGGGCTTGCTACATCACATGAAGAAAGCCTTTCTTTCTTATCAGTAGCCCCACCCCAAGGAGGATGCTGAGGGAATATCTTCCCACTGTGCTACTTACACATGCCATTTGGTGCTGTGAGGGGTACCCTGGGTCCTAAGATGTTTCCAGGCATTGGAGGCATACCGGGAGGGGCAGGGCCACTCCCAGTAGGATGAATGTTGGCTGCCACAGTGGGAATCATGCGGCCTGGCATGGGCTGTCCAGGCATCATGGAGCCAGGGCCTGGTATCTGACCTGTGTTGGGAGATTTAAAGTATTATAAGTATAAATGCATTCGGGGGAAAATAACCAACTTAATGTCCATGATTGCAGAGTATAGATAAATATATATTTAGTTATGGTCAACGATGGTACATGACTTTAATCCCAGCACTTGGGAGGCAGAGGAAGGTAGATTTCTGAGTTCAGGGCTAGCCTGGTCTTCAGAGTGAGCTCCAGAATAACCAGGGATACACAGAAAAACCTGTCTTACAATCACAAAGAGCGCCATCCCAAGGAAAGCATCACCCAAAGGAGAGCTTGCCTGGTAACTGAATAGGCAGTGGATCACCACATCACACACAGTGCCTATCGCAATCCGCTTCTGGTCTGACACACAACAGCCACCATTTCCCTTTCAATTCAGCATATTCTTTCTGGGTATGTGTTCCTAGGCAAGCTACTTAGTTTCCCCAAGACTGTCCTGAATAAACCTCAACAGTTGAACTCCTTAATTGTATGGCTCAGTTTTGATCAGGGCAACTGTTTTCTTCTTTTAAATAGCGCCTTCTTTTGTCAGTGGTTCCTCTAACATGCTTGTGCTGGGTTAAACCTGACACAAATTATGAGTCCCTGAGGAAAGAGGTGAGCCCAACCGGTGAGCGGCTTGGGGTATTTCTGTGAAATACTTTCTTGACCAATGACTGATGTAGGACAGCTCAACATACCAGGGGAGGGAGGTGCTACTCCTGAGCAGGTGGTCCTGGCTTATATAAGAAGGCTGTGAAAGCAAGCCAGAAAACAGTGTTACTCTATGGTTCCTGAGCCGCTCCAGTACTGCCCTGATTTCCCTCAGAGATGGACTGAAATTGGGAAGTATAACCTTTCTCCTCAACTTGCTTTTGGTCATGGTGTTTTATCACAAAAGAAAACTAGAACCAAGAGCCAATGTTGTTATCTTACAGGGAGTAAAATGAAGCTCAGAGAAGCAAAACAACAATTTGTCTTTTCACACAGGATCTTGGTATGTAATCAAGGTGGCTCGATATGCAACCCAGGCTAATCTTGAACTTGTGATGATCCTCCTCCTCTGATGCTCTAGTGATGGAATTACACCATGTACTGTTCCAAAGCTTTCTTTACGGACAGAGTAAGGAAAATCATAAAATATATTCAAGGCTTCTAAGCTGCAGTTCTCTTCTCACTCATACCCTGCCCAAATAAAAGTTTGCATGGAAGTCCTCACTATATCACACCTACAACTCCTATTCATTTGTTTACTTGAGACTCATCTCATTATGTAACCCCAGCGGCACTGGCCTTGAGTTCAGAGATCTGCCTGTATCTTCCTCCTAACCCTAACCCCAAGCCTGAGTGCTAGGACTAAAGGTGAGCAGCACTACCATACTTGTTTCCTTCAATATTTCTTAAACAAAACACTGACTTAAACACCTTTTATAAGCTGAACAGCCATAATCCCCAATTTTGAAATAAAAAATATTCAAGTAATCAAAATAATCTTTTTCTTGTTTGTATATCTGTGAGAGAGTTCAGATGTCCTGGAACTGGAGTTACAGACAGCTGTGAGCTGCAACGTGGATGCCGGGAACTGAACCTGGATTCTATGGAATCAGTGAGCCATCTTCTCCAGCCCCTCAAAACGTCCTTTAAAAAGTTTGTATGCAAATAACTCACATCTAGAGAACATTAAAAAAATCAGAACTACTTTTCAAGTGTTTGGTCGATATTCAAGCTGTAGTAGATTGGAGGGCAGCGCAAGTATGACTGTGGGCTCACAGAGATAGGAGGACATCTGAGATCACCTGAGAAGTCCTAATTCCAGGAAGTGTCCAGAGGAAGAGCACAGGAAGCCAGGTAGGATAAAGGGAAATGTGAATGGCTGCAAGCAGGGACGACATGTGACCACCAGAAGCTATGCTCCGTTAAATCCCTAGCAGGAACATGAGATGGCTGGCTGCCAGAGACCTCAACTTCAAACTGGGAGAATAAATTCCTATTTTTTGGAAATCATCTCATATGTATGTAGTCCAGGCCAGCCTTACATTCTCTTTGTATCCGAGGATGACCTTAAACTACTTCTTTTTTTTCTTTTTTCAAGTATTTATTTATTATATATACAGTGTTCTGCCTGCATGCCAGAAGAAGCTACCAGATTTCATTACAGATGGTAGCAAACCATCATGTGATTGCTGGGACTTGAACTCGGGACCTTTCGAAGATCATACAGTGAGTGCTCTTAATCTCTGAGCCATCTCTCCAGCCCAACCTTAAACTTTCTATATTCTTGCTTCTACTTCTTGAGAATAGAGATTATAAGTAGGGGTTTTTGTGTATGTATTGATGTTAAGTTTTATACAGTGCTGGGGATTACATTGAAATCTTCATGCATGCTCAGCAAGCCCTCTACTAACTAAATCTTCAAGCCCAATCTTCTATTGTTTTCAGTTAAACCAAATGTTTGATAAGCTTGTTATGATGACACAGAAATATAATGTATGAAACATGCTACTACGCTCTAGGCATTTTAAGAGCTTTAGAAGTTTGAACTCATCCAAACCCATTAGGACTATTTTCCCTGCTGGAGAAAGGTGAAGAAATGAAATGAGGAACTCTCCAAACATGGGGGAAACTGGATCTGAGGATGTAGTATATATACCTGGCTTTGGATGTGTGGTCCTTGTATGCACCTTGCACACCTGTCAGCAAAGGCACAGTCCACCATCAGATTCTGTGATATTTTGTAATGCAAGCCCTCCACCAATGGAGTAGTGCTTTGACCCTAGGCAGCTTTTCTGAAGCAACAGTATATCCGAGAGTGTGTTCCACCAGAGAAAAAGCGATTCAAGAAACAATCTGACAAACTTTATGAAGTGATGTGTATCCATCACATAAGCACATGATCAGTGTCAGTGGTCCACTTTCCTATTCCCCTGCATCTCTAGAGTGGTAACCTGGGACAGGGTAGTTTTGGGGTTTCTCAAATCTGAGAACAACATTTAAAATAAACAAAAGCAAGCAAATTCTTTCCTTTACTTACTGTGAAATTTGAAGCCTGAAAAAAAAAAAATCTTTCTCCTTTCATCATAGACAGGTTTATAAAGTCATTCTCATTGGAAAGGGGTGACAGCAAAAACGAAAGATTAGAGTAAAACTGACTTCTGCTTCTGACTAGGCTGGCTGGGCAGCAAGCCCCAGGCATCCTGCCTGCACCTCCCCAACCCTGGATTTACAAGTGTGCGATGTAAATCACACCACCCTGTTATGTAAGTACTACAATCAAATAAAGGTCCTTATGTGGGCACTAGCAAGCAGTTACCAACAGAGCCATCATCCACCAGCTCCAGAAAAGATGATTTGGGAGCATCAAATATGAAACAGAAATTAAGAGGCGTGGAATGAATACAAAAATCACTGTCTTGTCTATCTGAAATCTACAGACAAACTCCCCCTGCCCTATACTTCACAGAAGTATAACCCTTTTTAAAAAAACATAAATCAAGATATTCCTGGTAATTCTCTCTCAGGCTTGAAGTACGGCTCACAAAAAACTGAAACACCAAGGAGATAATATAAACGATATGAAATGTGTACGTACATAGTCTATTAACACAGACACACGAGGGGGCATATTTCCCTGTCTGAGGTGGGGATGGAAGAAGAGTGAGACAGGGAATACAGGGAGGAGAGGCAGTGCGCAAGCGTCCAAAAAGCACTGGCAAAACACAGGATGGCGGGAGTCTGACCTACATACAGCAGGCATCCGAAGCCTGGAAAATGCAAAGGTCTGCTAAAATTAGGTTTAGCCAGTAGAAAAAACCCCCCACACTCCTATGTTTATTAATTGTTACTAAAGCCTTACACCTATCATGTCTAATGGGACATTAGCAAAGGATTTTACTTTTTATTCATTGGAAGGATATGGAGAGAAAAGAGAAACGGAACCTGTGAATATCTAGTCTTAAGCATGTGTCATCCATCCATTTCTAACTATGCAGACATCCTCTGGCTGACTCCCCAGGAGAACAGAAACAACACAATGGGGGCCAAGTGAGGGAAGCCCAGGCTCCACAGAGGTTTCCTTTCCACAGCAGCTTCCTGGGGGTGCCTGTCACAGGTACTCTCTGTGAGGGAGGGGGCCTCACTGTCAGGCAGGACTAGAGGTACCACAGACTACAAACGGGGGTGATATAATGAGCAGGGTCTTTCTTTCTCCCCTTTCAGTGTGGGGCTTACCCTTTTGTGAACACTGCCATTTCTCATGGGTAGGCTTCTGGAACTGGGTTGAACTAAGGGCAAAGGCTGGGTTCTGAGGGATGCTGCAGTAGTTAAAGAGCACTTGCTCTTCCAGATGACCTAAGTCCAGTTCCCCATAGCCATACTGGCTTACAACCAAGCTCAGGCAGCCCCCAGCCACAGAGCACCCAATGCTCTCCTTCTGCCTCTGTGGGTAACACGCTATCTACGAACATGGTGTGGGGGCAGCAGTGGCATAGTGTCTTGAGGGGAAAAAAAGGATGAGCATTGACTGGAAACTAACCTGGGCTACACAGTAAGGCCATCTTGATTTTTTACTCCAAGAAAATGAAGAATAGTAAGTGCCCAGTGCTTCGGCTGAGAGACATGCCCTACTTTTACTATTCAATTAACATCTTATAGAAATAACATTTTCTCACCAAACCACACTGATTACTTTCTTTTTTGGTGGTGCTACGGGTGGATCCCAGGGCCTTAGGCATGCTAGGCAGCTGGGCTACCAGAGCTGTACTACAGCCCACATGCAATGGTCACCAAACCAGTCCACTCTCCATCGTGGTTATCCATGTAATTGTGAATACAACAAAGTCAAGCATAGTTGGGCAGCAGCAACAAATGGCTCACTCAAGAATTAGTGGCTGGGCCAGGGAGGTGCTAAAGGGGAAAGAGTACTTTACCATAGTTCACAGGGCCTTGAGAAACCTGTGACTAAGTTTGATACCTGGAAGCCACATGATGCAGAGAGAACTACCTTCCACATGTTCTCTAACCTACACACATCTGAGATGACATACATGCACCCCATATAAAATAAATAAAATAATCTGTAACAACTGATTGTGCTGGGACTTTACCAGGGTCCTCTGGAAGAGCAGCCAGTGCTCTTAACTGCTGATCCATCTCTAGCCCCAGCAGCTAAGTAAGTTTTTAGATGAAAAACTGTTAAATGCCCCTTTACAGCTTACAGAAGATGAATGCAGTGTTGCCTCTAACAAGTTCAGGGTAAAAACAGATGTGACAATCATAGAGCAGAAACACTTTGGGGTGAAGAGTTAGCTCAGTGTTTAAGAGAGACCACTACTCTGCCAAAGAACCCACACACAGTTCCCATCACCCATGCTTGGCAGCTCACAACCGCCTGTATCTCCAGCTCTAGAGGACCCAAAGCCTCTGCCCTCCAGCCTTTAAGCATACCTGCATTCACTCTAACATCTGCACACACAGACCTAGATAAACTAACTTGGGATATATCTATATAGACATAAGATATAGGCAGAGACAAAAGCTAACAAAGCAAGAGAGAAGCATGCAGTAGACAGGACTTAATGCACTTGAATGGATTTAAATGAAGTCTAGGGAAACAAGGACTGAAGCGGCAGAAACTAAGCATATGCAGTATGTTTAGAGGTGCATTTCACAGTGTAGACATCCACTACTTGGATGCTCAGCACCATTTGTGCTCAAAGCCTAGGAGACTTAAAACAATGAACAATAATATCACTGAGATCTCACTATGTACTGTGGCTGGTCTTCCTGCCTCTACCGTCCAAGTGCTATCACACCTGAATGGGTCCTATCCTATTGATAGATGGTTTTATTCTGTGTGTGTGTGGGGGGGGGGGGGTTCAGATGCACAGGACTCTACACACACATATTCCAGAGGACGATGCTTAAGTGTACTCTATCACCTTCTGCTTTATTCTTTTTTGAGATGGCATCTCTCCCTGAACCTGGAAATTTTGCTAGAAAAACAAAAGAAAAAATAAACCCCAAATAAGCAAACAAACAACCCAAAATAAACAAAAGGATTAACCTTGTCTGCTAGACTTTAAGCAGGCCTAACTTATGGAAATATGGTAGCATCTACTGTATGAACATAGACATGTCCTATGTATACTCTCAATTCTATGGGCACATACACTAAGAATGTATATTCACTAAGAGACATGCATCTGCTTGTTCACAGCTGAATTCGCTAATCGTACAACTCAAATTTGAAAAGCAATCCAATCCACATTTACCAACAGGAAAATTCACAAGTTAGGGTAGGAACAGATGAACTCTGCACGGCAAAAAGAAAAACAGACACAACATTCACAGAAGTGTATGCACATCTTATGTACACGGTACTAAGAAAGCCAGACAGAAATCATTATGATTACAACAAATAAAGTAGTCACTGTGCCTGGAAGTTGGGAGAGCTGTACCCTGGGAGGGGCAGACATGGAGAGCAGGACTGGAGACTGTTACAGGGGTTATAATCTATCAAAACTCATCAAGCAAACACTTAGGATTTACACATTCTTCCAAATGTACGTTATCTTTTATTCTAAAAAAGTATTAATTATAATATGTGATTTGTATTAATGCAAGGATAAGCATGCATGGCAAGAATATTTGGGGTCAGAAGACAACTTTTAGGAATCAATTTCTTCCTTCTATCTCAGGTTCCATGGACTGAACTGAGGTCATCAGGTTTGGGTTTCAAGTACCTTTATCTACTGACTCCTTGTATGGACCTTTCTATTATATACATGTGCACACACACACCCTGCCTCAGTAAGGAAGTAGCTGCATCTAGGTCCTCTGTGGCACAGGAGGCAGCACTATGGCATTCGTTTCCCCTAGAATCAGACAGAGCTCAGTGTGAACCCCGGCTCCACCAAGGCTAGGTGGCGTTGCCACAGATCAGGTCTTCATCTGCAGAGCAAGGGTTATGAGGAATGAAATAGTGTGGGTGAAGCAAGGCAGCACAATACAGTAGTATATGTTTTGTTCTTAAAGCCCAAGCTGGCCTACAACTTGCAACAGTTCAGGCTGGCCTTACTAGTTGAGCCTAGTACCCATCTTAGCTATTTATTTATTTTTGAGACAGTTTCTTTGTGTAGCCCTGGCTTTCCTTGAACTCAAGAGATCCACCTGCCTCTGCCTCTTGAGTGCAGAGATTAAAGGCATGCACCACTACTGCCTGCAGCAATATTTTGAAATAACTACCGTGCTTGAAATATGAATTTGTGTTGTGCTAATGTAAGGAGTCAGATTGCAACTGTACTCAACCATGGCCTCTATAGGCAAATATGATTTGGTAACTTCTGAAAGATTATTCAGAAACCTGTCTTTTGAAGGAGTAAGGGGTTAGGACTTTCTGAGACTTCAAAGGGGGAAAAAAAAATCCCTGTCTATGTAATTGCCACTGTTTTTTTTTTTTTTTTTTTTTTTTTTTTTTTGAGACAGGATTTCTCTGTGTAACAGCTTACGCTTTTCTGGAACTCACAGACATCAGCCTGCCTCTGCCTCAGGAGTGTTGGTATTAAAGGTGTGAGCCGCCACCACTTGGACTAATTGCTTCTTTTGCATACACTGGAGAGAATATTTGCATTCTACACCAGTAAGCATCAACTGTGGCTCTAGGAAAACGTTTATTATTGTACAATTAAAATGTTTACACTGACTGTACAACCCAAACTGAATTGTACAAGTTTACAGGACTATGAAAAAAACAGTATCCAAATACCTCATATCTGTGAGAAAATATTAAAGAGAGTCATGAATGTTCATTTGTCTTACAAGTTTTCTTGAAGTGATAACAGTACAGAGAATGTCTAAGAATACTTTAACGTGGGGCTGGGTATCGGTACACAGGGCATCACTGTGTACCTCAGGCTGACACGGAGTTCACCAACTCAGCCTGTCTTGTAAAACATAGGTGTGCATCACCATGCCTGACGATCGATCATCTTAGAAGCTGATCTACCCAAGATAAAAAGGATCCAGTAGAGAGGTGGAAAGGACCATCCTGGCATGGTAACCACCTCTGACAAATTTCCTGTTAGCAAGGTTCCCTCTTACCTGGCTGGGGAGGATGGGGTGGCGGCATCTGATGGTGCATCAGAGGGTAGGGTGGGGGCTGCTGATGAGGCATCATGCCAGGGTGCCCTGCTGTTCCAAGTGGGGCCAGACCAGGCCCTCCTGAGTGCTGGTGTGCTTGCTGAGGGTTCTGGCCATGTTGCTGCTGTTCCATTTGTTGTCGAGCTCGTAGCTCAGCATATTTCAATTGTTCCATGTGGAAGTTCTGGCGCTCAGTAAGTAACTGCTGTCTCTGTTGTTCTAGCTAGAATAAAGGAAACAGAAAAGAAATGATACCAAGAGGTTTCTCAGGACTTTATGACATGTAGGACATGCATTTGATTCATGAGTTCCATCCACAAAATGCTATAGAAAGAGGCCCCTTACCTGGGATGTCCCTATGTTTAGTTCCAATCTGCTTTTCCTTATACTCTACAGCAGTGGGGCAAATGCCCAAAGGACCTACTTTCAAAAGACTGATAGGCTTTCATCCTTTAAGTATGACTGGAAACAGTATTCAACCACCTTACCCAGGCCACCCTTGAATTCCTGGAATCAAATGATCCACTTGTTCTAGTTTCTAAATAGCTGGGACTATATCTATGTGCCACTGTGTCTGGCAAAGCCTGCAGATCTTAATACTACTTCCCTAGTTAAGAGAAAGAAAGGGGGGGGGGGGAAGAAATTCCCTTTACCAATTCCTCTCAGCAACATTTAAAACAATACATTTAACCTCTCCAGGTGATCCATTTGGCAACTATCTATTTTAGAATATAAAATGTCCAAGAGTGGCAAGATCTTAGGCATGCGCATGAGCACACACACTTTCCCCTCCTATGTGGAACTTTGGAATGGTATGGCTGGGCAAATCTTAGCTTTTAGATAGCTAAAAATCACACGGGGTCAACAATTTCACACATTCTCACTCATTAAATCATAAATTATTTATTTATTTTATGTGCATTGGTGTTCCTGCATATCTGTCTGTGTGAGGTGTCAGATCTTTTTGTATGTTTGTTTCTCGAGACAGAGTTTCTCTGTATTGTTTTGGAGCATGTCCTGGAACTAGCTCTGTAGACAAGGCTGGCCTCGAACTCACAGAAATCCGCATGCCTCTGCCTCCCAAGTGCTGGAACTAAAGGCATGCTACACTAACGCACAGCTGAAAGTTGTGAGCTGCCATGTTTGTGCTGGGGATTGAACCCAGATCCTCTGGAAAAGTAGTCAGTGCTCTTAACTGACAAGTCATCTCACCAGCCCCTAAATACAATTTTTTTTACAAAGAAAATGTGAAGAATATAAATACTTCAATATTCAGAATAACAAACAGGTCAGGGAAATGGCATGTAGTTCAGTAGTAGAGCACACACATGAACCACTGGGTCCAAATCCAACTGCCAAAAAAGGAAATGAGTGAATAATTAAGATAAACAGCTAGGTGAGTGTGCAACTCCAGCCCTCAGAAGTTAGAGGCTTAAGGATAAAAAGTTCTAGGTCCTTCTTAGCAGTTAGTGAGTCTGACGCCAGTCTGGGCTGGAGGAGACACTGATTCAAAACCAAACATTACTATTTTTTAAAGTAGACATTATTTCATATATATGTATGCTTTATCACATATTCTCCTAATTCAAGAGGAGGGCATCAGATCTCATTATAGATATATGTATATGTATGGAAATATGAAAGATGAGGTTAGACTTACTTCTCAGTAGTGACCCCATCCCATCATTCCCACAGCCTGATCTCTCATTGGAATCCCTTTCTAGGGCTGCAGTGTCTAGTGTAGTTCACATTAAGTGACATCTATATACTAAGTATTTGAAATACAGCCAATATGAATAGAGACAGGGACACACATGGAGATCAGAGGATAACTTGTTTGACTATGTTCTATCTACCATGTGGGTCCTGGGGATTGAACTTAGGTTTTAAGTGTCTTACCAGCTGAACCATGTCACTGTCCAGTTTAAAAAGAAGGAAAAAGAAAAACTCTCATTCTGATTGTAAGTAGAATTTGTGTTATAATACTAAATTATTATAATTTCAGTTGTCTTAAAATTTTAACATGGCTGCTACAAAAATCTTATTACATGTATGGCTCAAATTTTACTGGGTTGAATGTGAGACTTCTAGTCTAGACTTATGACTAGATCTCCATTGTTGCCCAGGTTAGTTGCAAATGCCCTGGTCCCACCCTCCCTGGATGCCTTGCTTAACTGTGCCTACCATCTGAAAACACAGAAAGTAATTAGAAGGAAGTAATTATGAAAATTAAACAAGGCAAGTGATTAAATACACATACATACACCTGGGGGGGGGGGTAACAAAACCCAGTTAAAACCCAAAGCTTTAATGTAGGATGAATAAGTCCCCTGAGGTGAGAGTAAGGCCCAGATTGCGGCTCCCAGACACTCCAGGGTGCTCTGGGGCAGAGGCAGCAGATCTGAAAAAGCTGCTACAGATCTAAAAAAGCTGCTACATCCTGGTGTCATTATGTAAATGAAGTATTCCAGACATCAAATCAAATCTAAAGACTGTAGAAATTCACATTGGTACCTAATGTCTGATAAAGGTGTCAAGATACAATGAGAAAAGAAAACCTCTTCACCAAGTAGTTCTGGGAAAACTAGACTCCCAGACGTAGAAACATCAATTGATACCTCTCTTTTACATTGTTTAAAAAAAAAAAAAAAAAATCAAAATGGCAAACTTAATGTGAAGACTAGAATAGAAACCTAGCTGGGTGTATGTAGTGGTACATGCCTTTAATTCCAGCACTTGAGCGGAAGACGTAGACAGATATTGCAATCAAGGTCTACAGATTGAGTTCAAGGAAAGATAAGGCTATCCTGTCACGAAACCCCCACCCTCAAAAATCTACAAAACCATACACTGTAAAAAGATAGCCACAGCCACAGCTCAAGAATGTAGGCCCAGCATTCATGAAGCTAGGGCAGACAGACAAACATGACCTTGAGGTCAGCCTGGGCTACAGTGTGTGCTCTGCCTGAAAAACAAAAAAAAAACAAAAAAAAAAAACAAGTCTGGGTACTGGTGGCCTTTAATCCCAGTATTAAAGAGACAGAACCAGGTGAATCTCTGAGTTTGATGCCTGTCTGGTCTACAGAGGAAGTTCCTGGACAGCCAGAGCTATATAAAGAAACCGTTTCTCAAAAAACAGTACAATAAATAAATGAATTAAAACAAAATATACAAGGCACACAAATTTGGTTGTTACAGAAATCATTATGGGGCTCCTCAAAACAACAAAAATGGACTTACAATAGATCCAGGCATCTAGATTAAAATCCACACCACACATCTGCTCAACTATGCTCATTACAACATTATAAACAACAGTCAAGACATGAAATCAGTCAACAGGTGAATAGTTCAAAGAAAATGTGGCTTATACACAATGCAGTTTCACATGGGTTCGTCTTTAAATCCAGCACTCAGTCAGACAGAGGCAAGTGGGAGTTCTAGGGCAGCTAGGGCTATGCAGTGAAATGCTTGGGAAAAAAAAATATCAAAACGTTTAGTCATTCCCAATAAAATAAGATAGGCTCAAAAAAGAAAACCAATCACAAGATTTCTCTGGTAAGTGGGAAGCTCAAAGTAAACCAGTGTGAAGCAGGAGGTAGAGGGGTAACAGGGAGGAGAGGCGGGACCATCCATACACCTGACATGTGATATGAATTCACTATTTTGCACAACAACAAAGATTTTGAAACTATCAGAAAATAAAAGACAAGACCAATTTTAGTATTCCAAACAACAAAATGTAGCAACAATGTTCATGACAACCAGGAAGGAAGGATGGATGGGAAGGAGGTCTTTCCTAACAAGCTGGCAGTATTAAGGCACATTTTAAATGTATTCAACCACTGAGCCATGATTTAACATCTGGAAATCTGCCATGTAAATATTTCATCTGTGGGAACACAACTATTCAGTAAAACATTATTTTGATCTATAGTTGCGTCAGAACCACAGAGTTGGAAGAAAATCAATTTGCAACAGAAAATATTTATGATCCCAATATACACAAATCCTGTGATCATGTATAAATACACATCGAGAACATTCTGGAAAACACCAAACGAATAACGACTATCTCTAGGAATAAATCTTTTCAGTGTTCTATGTATTTTATAACATGCAATGTAGCATGGGCAACCTCTGAAAACCCACTAAGTTTAAGTAGCTATATGGAGCCAGGTGGTAATAGCGCATGCCTTTAATCCCAGCACTTGGGAGGCAGAAGCAGGCATATCTCTGTGAGTTTGAGACCAGCCTGATCTAAAAGCTAGTTCTATGACAGACTTCAAAGCTACACAGAGAACCCCTGTCTCAAAAAACAAAACAAAAACCACACCCAAAAATCTAGGTAGAAAAGGTCACATATTAATTACTCATGTTACATGAATTGTCAAGAATAAGTACATCTACAAAGACAGAAAGTAGATTATACCAGACAGATTACACATAAGGTACAGGAGGACATAGTCAAACTAGGGGAAAAGGGTTACTGCTAGTATGGGTACAACTTTTTAGGGTAATGAAATGTTTGCAAAACATTAAAGTTATAAAACCCTGTCTCTCTTCTGAAAGATAGAAAGCTGCTGAATCATGCCTGTGCATGCCTGCCACACTGAATGATGTATGGAAGGCCTTTCATTCCACCATTTGAGTTTCATGGATCAGTGGCCTTACCTACTTAAAATGGTTCAATGAAGCCTAGAGTGGAAATCCATGCCTGGAATCCCAAAACGTGGGAGGCTGAGGTACGAGGAATTCATATTTTGATCGCAAAGACAGCTTTTATTGTTCTTATTACCTAAACTTTTTATGTTACACATAATACTTTTTAAATTAAATATCCATTTACTTTATTTGTTGTTTTTTGAGACAGGTTCTCTGTGTAGCCCAACCTGTTCTAGAACTCACTCTGTAGATCAGGCTGGGCTCCTACTCAGAGAGATTTGCATGCCTCTGCCCTCCCAGTGCTGGGATTAAAATTGCGTATCACCACTGCCTGATCAACCATTTTGTATTATTGCCAAGAGATATGAAAACAAATTAGGGAACTGTGAGAAGGCCCAGTGTGTAAAGGCATTTATAGCTAAATCTAATGACTAAGTTTGATTCCAGGAACCCACATAGTAGAAAGAGAAAATTGACTCTAACAAGTTGTCCTTTGGCCTTAACAACTATACTGTGGAGCAACACATGAATATACGCACACCAACAATGTTAATAATA